ACAGGAGCACCGTATGGCGATGAGCTAGGCCGAATCCAGCCTTTCTCTAGAAGGTCGTCGAGTTGTGCCCGAAGCACACTTAACTCTTCCTCGCTCATTCGGTAGATGCATCCGCGCGGAGGTACGGCCCCGTCCTCGAGGATGATCTCGTGGCGGATGGGTCGATCCAGTACTACTCCATGCGGGTCTTCGAACACGTCGCTGTAGGCGTCGAGAAGTTGGGTGATGCGTGGATCCGAAGGTGAGTCCGTTGATGAAGCGTCATGTGGCGGGAGGGCGTGGAGAAAACACACCCCCATCTCCTCGATGTCGTCTCTGATGATGGAAGCTCGCATGCTTGCGGCGGATACCACGTGGCAGCTGATCGAAGGATGAGGAAGAGGCACCTTGCATGAAACTAATACTCCGTTCCGGTCACGAACGTGAACGGTGCGGTTGAAGAAGTTCACCGGGTGATCCTTGCTTCGCAGCCATGACATGCCCAAGATCACGTCGAATTTGGTGTCCAGAATGTCAAAGGACACCGCCTCACTTGCGTGAGGGGCAAAGTACACTGGGACGACGTCAATGCACCGGTCGATGGACTTGTGTGTATGACCGTCTGCCAGGGTGACTTGCGTAGGCTGGGACTTCCTCCGGACATGTGGGCCAAGGCCGGCGCGTACCATGAAGTCCTGGYTGATGTAGTTGCGAGATGCTCCGCAATCGATCAAGGCACTGCAGGTCGCCTCTCCGATCTGAATGCGTATGTATAGCAATGGTGCGTCGATGTCGTCGTACCGTTGCGTCTTGAACTCGCGGTTGATCTTCGCGATGAAAGCGTGAAGGTTGACAACCTCTGCTCCGGCGTCCATCAACGGAGCTGGTACTGCAGTGTGCAAGTAGTCCCGCAATTGTGCCATAAGCACGTTGCAACGCGGTTTCGGCAATCGTCCGGTCGAGGGAACGGACATCCACTGGAAGTCCGTGAACGTCATCGGATCGAGCTCATCAAGTCTTGACCATGACGTCGAATCCCCGGCGATAGGTTGCAGCGAAGCTGCCGAATCGGTTGCTGATGGTGATGAAACCGTGCATGCGGTGGAACCAAGTGGACATCAGAATCCTCGTAAGTATACCGAGGACTTGCGACATTCGCACCCTCCCCAGATGTGCAGGAGGCCGCTAGCAAGGCGGCCGAATCTGGCGGAGTAGAAGGTGGAGTCGCCTCACCTTCCGCGGAGCTCAGTTTCCCGAGCTGAGGCGGGGTCGYACATCCTCCTTGCCCTGATCTTGGCACAGGGAGGTCTTGTGCTTGGTGTTGTTGCACCAATAGCAGCTGCCGTAGCGGCCGCAGACTTTGTACTCCGCCTCGGTCAAGCCGAACTTGACCCATGGAACTTGTACTGGCTGTCCATTTCMGGCCTGCGATGCGGATTTCGCCTTCCCATTGTTGCGGGACTTGTTGTTGCTTCGCGGCTGGACAACAGCCACCTGATCTCCGTCACTTGATGCTGGAGTGGCTGCTGGGTTATCTCCACTGTCCTGCTGGACTGCAGCGAAGTGCTGTTGTCGCGGACCAGTTCGTGCCTTCTTCACATAGGTCGGCTGCCATGTTGATTTCTCGTGTGCAGCTGACCTGTTGGTCTTGATGATCTCCCTCGCTTTGTCAATGATCTCCGCGAAGGTTGAGTACTGCTCGCGATCACCAAGAGCCTGGCTCAATGCCGCACAAGACCTGTTGTAGAACTCACGGCGTAGATGCTCGAATGGTAGGTTTAGATTGGGCACAGTCGCAATCTTCTGCCACTCCGTGAGCCAGTCCCGTGTTGCTGTGTTGCCTTGTGATATGGTGAACAAACGGTTGATGGCGAGTGTCGGCGCATCGTCGACGATGAACCGCTTCTTCCACAACCGTGTTAGTTCCTCCCATGTGATTATGTCCTTCAAGTCTGGTACGTCGACGCCGTGGGAGGTTGCCAGGTGGCTCAACCAGGTCTGGCATCCGCCCTTTGAGTTCAGGAACAAGGCGCCGATGTACGCGTGCTTGGCTACTGGCAGAATCCTGAGTTGCGTTGTGAATGCTTCCCACCAGAGGACGGGATCCTGCTGCGTGTAGTCGTCGAACCTCTCCAGGTTGAAAGTTGGCATCTTGTACATCTTCGGATTGTCGTCCGCGTTCGTCGACTGCAGCTTCTGGACCTCGGTCTTCAATGTATGCAGCTGACTGCTGATGGTGGTGGTCGGCGCAGCGAAGGTGCTGATGTCGCCGAGCATTGCCACTACGTGGTCAACGCGGTCCTCCAGTTGGCGGCTTGAGGGTGCGCTGCTGGAAGCTCCAGCAGCTGGTCTTGGTACAGCCTGTTCCAGGTCCAACAATCGGGCATTGAGTGCCCGAGTTGCATCCTCGTGGCTCTGCACTATGCGGCGGAGCTTCGCCAATTGCTGATGCTGTTGCGTCAGGTCCCGGTGCTGTCTCTCCAACTCTGACCTTTGGTAGTTGCAAGCATACAACAACCGCGTCACGAGTTTGGAGAGGAACTCCTTGTGCTTTTCTTTCGGTGTTGCGTCGTCGCCGTTCGGTTGAAAATGCCAGTACTTGAGTCTGTCGATGCTGTTGGCTTCATGCCGCTGCAGCAGATCCTGGGCTTCTTTTCGGCGAGCCTGGGCATCTGCTCCTGCATCGGCCTGTAACCGCAGTTTCTCTGCTGCTGCTGCCTCTTCAGTTTGTATGCGGGCAGCCTCGACTGCCAGCAGGCGTTGTTTCTCAGCCTCTATCTGAGCCAGGCAACGCTGCTTGTAGGCGGCAATGGTCTCATTGGCCAGTTGGCCTGGCAGGCTCGTCATGTTGCTGACGTGGCAATGCTGCTTACGTGGCACTGCTGATGTGGCACTGCGTCTGACGTGGTACTGCTGACGTGACACTGCTGACGTGGCACTGTGTCTGACGTGACACTGCTTATGTGGCACTATGTTTGACATGGCAATGTGACCTGGCACTGCGGACGTGGCACTGCTGATTTGACACTGCGGACGTGACACTGCTGATTTGGCACTGCTGATCTGACACTGTGACGTGGCACTGCTGACGTGGTACTGTGACTTGGCACTGTGACGTGGCACTGCTGACGTGGCACAGCTCATCTGCACTGCTGATGTGGCACTATACCGAAACGGGATGCATGCAAGGGGTGGGTGGGAGGGAAAACGGAGGGAGGTAACCAACCCAACAATGCTTTCCTCCGGCCCTAATCAACAGAT